GGGGTTGAGTCAGATCTTTACTTCAGTCGGAAGCACTGAACACCAGTCAGTCAGTTAGTGGAGCATTTTTATTAATCTACAGAAAGAAACCTGATCAGAACCAGAACCAGGAGGCTGAGACTCCTGAATGAGCAGCAGGTCAGCTGATCTCAGGTCAGGGACGTTCAGATGATTTTAATCCAACCATCGTTTCACATTCTGACCTGCTTGATGGTCCGAACCGGCCCAGAAAGGTTCAGATGTTTTCCTGCTTCACAGCTGGTTCAAATGAGTCCAGAACAGTGGAACCGAACCAGGCCTTAAGAACCAGCAGTTTGGGCCCGGCAGAAAGCAGAGGTAGAGACACAGTGGCTTAAAGCCAAACGTTAATCTTTATTATTCCGTTTATGTACAAAAGCACGAATCACAGCAAACATCTGAGAACAGAAGACATGCAGCAATTTACAGCTGGAGACAGAAAAACCTGGGCCCCGGGGGGCCGTTTTAAAGACAATAAGTAAACATTGTGCTTTGATATACTTTGATATATTTCATATTTCACAAAGATCATAAACCTCTGGCCTCTTTCACATTGAAGAGAGCAAAACGTTTCTGAACTGAGGACCTGATTGGAGACGGCTGGTCCTAGGTCGCAGAGTTCAGGAGGAAGTAACTGGAGCTGCTGGTTCCCATGGAAACAGCATTTTATTCCCAGTCACCATCAACCCCGCTCCCTTGAAAAGCCTGGAAAACCTGGAGCAGTTCAGGAAATGAAACATTTTGAGAGTGGAGCCAGAAATGGAGCGAATGTCAACATTAAAGCTAAAATAATCAGTTTTTCACTGAAACTTCACAGGATTTCATATTAATTTTCAGAATCATTTCTCACGGCTGGGAATGAAGAAATGAAAACCTTGAAAGTTTTGGAGAACCTGAGAAAATCCTGAAAACTGAAATATTCTCTTTTCTCTGCAGAAACAAAACAGAAACAACAAATAACTTCATAAACTTGAACATTTTAACCAAATTTTCCTAACTTTAAGTTCTTGATTTTGTTAAAATGTTCCTTTGTTTCTGGAGATCTAACCTGGACCCGGTTCTGACGATCCGGATCAGGGGACAGAACGTTTTAAAAACTGATGCTCATAAAAAGAACCAACCATTCTGTCCCTGATGTAGGAAAGTCCTGGAAAGTCCTGGAATGTCCTGGAGTATTGCGTGACATTATGAGGTTAGCATAAAGGTTTGTTGTGGCAGGGACGGCTTGTGGTTTCATCGTTCTCTTCTTTAGTGCTCCAACCATGACAGTGCATTTAGAAATAAGCAAGAATATAGATTTCACAATAAAACACCGACGAGGAAAAGCAGCAAAAACACAGTCGTTTACAAAAAGTTAAATATCGGAAAAAAACTTTTTATACAAAAGTGATGAAAGTTTTACTTCCTGCTTTCTGAGGTCGCCACCTGATTTATTTATTTTTTTAATTTTTTATTTTTTTTTTTACAAAAACGGGATTTTATTTTTTGATTTTACAGAATCTAAAAGATTTTCAGGTTTCTAGATTGAATTGCTCAGAAAAACATGGAAAAGAATCACAACCCAGAGGAACAGAACTGGGTCAGACCCGGAACTGGACACGAACCAAACCGGGCCACAGAAAGAAACGTGAACAGGAAACGGGAAGCTAAACTCTGCAGCTTCCTGTTTCCTGCCTGAGGAAACAAACATGGCGGACAGCATGGGACCAGAAGAAAAACACTCCGCTGGACTGGAACATTCTGGTCCCGCTCGGATTCAAACAAACCAAACAGAATGAACTGGACTAGGTCCAACTGGATCCACTGGGAGCAGGACGGGTTCTGGAGAACCTCAAGAGTCCAACAGAACCAACTCTGGAGCTACAAACATCTGGAGGAGCAGCAGAAGATCCAGATGTTCATCAGCAGAGGAACAAACCAGGAGCAGCATGTGACCCACTGGACCCGAACCAGAACCGGAACCATTTCCTGGTACGAGGAAACCCAAACGTCCGGTCTATGGAGGAGGAAATGTTCTGTTCTGCATTTTCTTCAGAACCGTCCAGTTCCAGAGGAGCAGAACCAGCAGGGTCCGTCCGGGAAGTCCTGCTGCTGGCGGTTCTGGTTCTGGTTCAGGGTTTCCTCACATGGGGGGCACGATGAGGCCGGCCATGGCTGAAATACACAGACAACGACCTGTCAAAAACATGCTAACATGCAAACGGCTAAAAATATTTCATGTTTCTGGAATATTTAGAAATTAGTTTAAAAAACTGAAAAATATCAAATCCTATGAATGAATTTGATCAGTTTATTATTTTAATTAATTTATGTACTTTATCCTCTTGCTGAAATTAATAATAAAATTATTATTTATTAACACTAACCCTTCATTCACTTAAAATCGACACTGAAAAATAACTCAATACAGACAATTTATTTTGGTGAGCTGTTCAGTTCTTCCTCTGAGTTTCATCAGAAATCATCTGAATCATAAACGTAGCTGCCAGAGCCGGAAAACACACCAGACATTTTTGGAGAGTTAAGAAAATCTTTTCTGTTGAAGATTTTTGGTTTTGTTCCTGAACTAAAATGAGAAACTTGATGCCAAATTAAATATATTTTTGTGTCAATGTCCCATTGGTGCCCCCATGTGGCTCCATGGTGGCCCCATGTGGCTCCATGGTGGCCCCATGTGGCTCCAT